AATAATAGTAAAGAATCAGTACTAAAGAAAATAGATATGTAAAGAATCAGAACTAAAGAAAATAGATTATGAAAAGGCAAGTCCACATAAGAATACTTTTCCTTTGTGAATTCTATTTTAAACTACCAAATTTGAAAATATAATATTTGTTTTCTTATTGTTCTGCAACAGATATAAAGTCACTTGTAACCAGAAGACAATTAACTATGAATAATAGTAAAGAATCAGTATTAAAGAAAATAGATATGTAAAGAATCAGAACTAAAGAAAATAGATTATGAAAAGGCAAGTCCACATATATAAGAATACAGTGCGCAGAACATAAAGACTAAAGAGTTGTTATTATAAAACTTCAAAATTTTCTTTGAGTTTCCTAGCAGCAAAAGTAACAAGAGAGACTGAAAGTAAAACAATTCAAATTCGATAATATTTTTAAATGAGGAACAACGTTTTCAGGAAATGTTTAACTCTAGTTTTTCATAAGCTACCTAAATAATTGAATTCTCTATCTCTATATATACACACATATGTATTTAGATAAGTAAATGAACAATTTTATAACTAAATCAAATATAGAAACAAGAATTCAAAGTTGATGTTAGTCAAAAATAAAATACCATTTCCGCATATATTCGGTTTCGATATGACTTCAAATGTGAATGTTCCATACATAAGCACTTTGGAAATATTATTTAGGGAAAAAAACAAAACATGAAGTTTTATGGTGGTGAATGTAGTGCACAGTACTCACAATTTTAGGCGCAAGGTGTCGCTCTTTGCTTGGTGGAAAGAGTTCATTGCTAGGTTGGTCTAACAGTCAGGCATTCCCCATACAAAGCGAGTCGATCATGCCGGATGCTACTGTTAGAGGATCCTTGAAAACTTTTAAAAAATTCAGCGAGATTTTTAACCTGAAGCTGAAATATCTGGGACTGTAAGTGGAAAAAATCTTATTTTGGAAGCCAATTTCGTATGCGATGTTCGGTTTTCAGAGAAGGGGATTGGGGGCTCCGCGACTATTGCTCTCGCTTCTGCTCCTTGCATTCCTGGAGGAGGGGAGCGGCCAGCTCCACTACTCGGTCCCCGAAGAGGCCAAACACGGTACCTTCGTGGGCCGCATCGCGCAGGACCTGGGACTGGAGCTGGCGGAGCTGGTGCCGCGCCTGTTCCGGGTGGCGTCCAAAGGCCGAGCGGACCTTCTGGAGGTGAATCTGCAGAATGGCATTTTGTT